GCCCAGCACCGCTTGGTATGGCTCGTTATATTATTGTATTAAAGACCGGACTGGGCCCAGCACCGCTCGGTACGGCTCGTTATATTGTTGTATTAAAGACCGGACTGGGCCCAGCCCTGCTCGGTATGACTCGTTATATTGTTGTATTAAAGACCGGACTGGGCCCAGCACCGCTCGGTATGGCTTTTTATATTGTTATATTAAAGACCGGACTGGGCCCAGCACCGCTCGGTATGGCTCGTTATATTGTTGTATTAAAGACCGGACTGGGCCCAGCACCGCTCGGTATGACTCATTATATTGTTGTATTAAAGACTGGACTGGGCCCAGCACCGCTCGGTATGGCTTTTTATATTGTTGTATTAAAGACCGGACTGGGCCCAGCACCGCTCGGTATGGCTCGTTATATTGTTGTATTAAAGACCGGACTGAGCCCAGCACCGCTCGGTATGGCTCGTTATATTGTTGTATTAAAGACCGGACTGGGCCCAGCACCGCTCGGTACGGCTCGTTATATTGTTGTATTAAAGACCGGACTGGGCCCAGCACCGCTCGGTATGGGTCGTTATATTGTTGTATTAAAGACCGGACTGAGCCCAGCACCGCTTGGTATGGCTCGTTATATTGTTGTATTAAAGACCGGACTGAGCCCAGCACCGCTCGGTATGGGTGGAAGTGTCTGGGAACAAGATTAAGTGTAATGTGACTAACATGACTTCACTTTCGAGCGCATGCCATCCTTCAGCACGTCACCCTTTATAAAGCACATGATTATATCATATTCGACATAGTAGTTTATGTCATATTTGACATTGGTGATTATGTCACACAGTTATGCCACATTTATGAACCCCTTTATAAAGCATGACATATGGTAATAGATGCTTTTTAAAACATTGATGTAGTTCTTATGAAGGCATTATGAAGCCTTTATATACTGAACGTCATTTAAAGTGGGACCGAGGGCACCAGATCATCTGCAAACAGTAAACATTTGATTTCCGAGTCCAGTAGGGTGTGGCCAGGTGCTGCAGACTGTTCTAGTGCCCTCGCCAATTCATTGATTCAGAAAGTATTCACACCCCTTGACTTTTTCCACATAGTAATGTGTTACTGGCCAAATTTTAAATGGATTAAATAGAGATTTTCTTTTTGTCACTGGCCTACACACAATTACCCATAATGTGGAAGTGGAATTATATTTTTCATTTTTACAAATTAATTAAAAATGAAAAGCTGAAATGTCTTGAGTCAATAAGTATTCAACCCCTTTGTTGTGGCAAGCTTAAATAAGTTCAGGAGTAAAAAGGTGCTTAACAAGTCACATAATAAGTTGCATGGACTCACTCTGTGTGCAATAATAGTGTCTAACATGATTTTGGAATGACTACCTCATCTCTGTACCCCACACATACAATTATCTGTAAGGTCCCTCAGTTGAGCAGTGAATTTCAAACACGGATTCAACCACAAAGACCAGGGAGGTTTTCCAATGCCTCACAAAGAAGGGTACCTATTGGTAGATTAAAAAAAAAAAAAAAAACCTTTGGATGGTGTATCCATACACCCAGTCACTACAAAGATACAGGCGTCTTTCCTAAATCAGTTGCTGGAGAGGAAGGAAACAGCTCAGGGATTTCATCATGCCAATGGTGACATTTAAAACAGTTACAGAGTTTAATGGCCGTGATAGGAGAAAACTGAGGATGGATCAACAACATTATAGTTACTCCACATTACGAGTGGTGTAAAGTATTTAAGTAAAAATACTTTAAAGTACTACTTAAGTAGTTTTTTTGGGTATCTCTACTTGGCTTTACTATTTATATTTTTGACAACTTTTACTTCACTACATTCCTAAAGAAAATAATGTACTTTTTACTCCATACATTTTCCCTGACACCCAAAAGTACCCTGTTACATTTTGAAAGCTTAGCAGGACAGGAAAATGGTCCAATTCATGTACTTATCAAGAGAACATCCCTGGTCATCCCTACTGCCTCTGATCTGGCGGACTCACTAAACACAAATGCTTTGTTTGTAAATGTTGTCTGAGTGTTGGAGTGTGCACCTGACTATCCATACATTTAAAAAACAAGAAAATCGTGCCGTCTGGTTTTCTTAATAGAAGGAATTTGAAATGATTTATACTTGTACTTTTGATACTTAAGTATATTTTAGCAATTACGTTGACTTTTGACGCTTAAGTATATTTAAAAACAAATACTTTTGGAATTTTACTCAAGTAGTATTTTTAATGGGTGACTTTCACTTTTACTTGAGTCATTTTCTATTAAGGTATCTTTACTTTTACTCAAGTATCACAATTGGGGTACTTTTTCCACCACTGCACATACTAACCTAATTGACAGTGAAAAGAAGGAAGCGTGTACAGAATACAAATATTTAAAAACATGTATCCTCTTTGCAACAAGGCACAAAAGTAATACTGCAACAAATGTGGCAAAAACATTTGTCTTTTGGGGTATTGTGTGTAGATTGATGAGAAAACATTTATATTTAATCATTTTTGAATTCAGGCTCTAACACAACAAAATGTGTAATAAGTCAAGGGGTATGAATACTGAACAAAAATATCAACAAATATTTTACTGAGTTACAGTTCATATAAGGAAATCAGTCAATTGAAAATTCATTAGGCCCCGATCTATGGATTTCACATGACTGGGAATACAGATATGCATATGTTGGTCACTGGTACCTTTTTAAAAAAGGTAGGGGCGTTGATCAGAAAACCAGTCAGTATCTGGTGTGACCACCATTTCCCTAATGCAGCGCGACACATCTCCTTCGCATCGAGTTGATCAGGCTGTTGATTGTGGCCTGTGGAATGCTGTCCCACTCCTCTTCAATGGCTGTGCGAAGTTGCTGGATATTAGCGGGAACTGGAACACGCTGTCGAACACGTCAATCCAGAGCATCCCAAACATGCTCAATGTGTGACATGTCTGGTGAGTATGCAGGCCATGGAAGAACTGGGACATTTTCAGCTTCCAGGAATCGTATACAGATCTTTGCGACATGGGGCCGTGCATTATCATGCTGAAATACGAGGTGATGGCGGGGGATGAATGGCACGACAATGGGCCTCAGGATCTCGTCACGGTATCTCTGTACATTCAAATTGCTATCGATAAAATGCAATTGTGTTTGTTATTGTTATCCGTAGCTTATGCCTGCCCATACCATAACCCCCCCGCCACCATGGGGCACTCTGTTCACAATGTTGACATCAGAAAACCGCTCGCCCACATGACACAATACACGTGGTCTGCGGTTGTGAGGCCGGTTGGACTTACTGCCAAATTCTCTAAAACGACGTTGGAGGCGGCTTATGATAGGGAAATTAACATTCAATTATATGCCAACAGCTTTGGTGGACATTGCTGCAGTCAGCATGCCAATTGCACGCACCTTTAAAACTTGAGACATCCGTGGCATTGTGTTGTGTGACAAAACTTCACATTTTAGAATGGCCTTTTATTGTCCCCAGCACATGTGCACCTGTGTAATGATCATGCTGTTTAATCAGCTTCTTGATATGCCACACCTGTCAGGTGGATGGATTATCTTGGCAAAGGAGAAACGCTCACCTAACAGGGATGTAAACAACTATGTGCACAAAATGTGAGAGAAATAAGCTTTTTGTGCGTATGGAAAATGTCTGGGATCTTTTGTTTCAGCTCATGAAACATGGGACCAACCCTTTACATGTTGCGTTTATATTTTTGTTCAGTGTATATTTTCTGAAGGCACTGTATAAAGAGGGTGGGGCTCAAGCTGCTGTCGATGACAACGATGCAGCTTTCCACTTTGCTTCTTAATATAAATCCACAAGGGTTCTATAATTACACTATTTGTTTATCTTACTGTCTGCAAACAGCTAGTTTGTATTTTCTTACTAAATTGTGGCTAAAATAAATTGTGTTAGCCGCTAATGCTAATCGCTAGTTTTTTTGTTGTAAAATAAATTAGGGGGTAGATCAGGTTTAATATTGCAGATCGATTGTAGCTTCCATCAATGTAATTGTCTGCATCATTTCCAATCCACCATATCTTTTTTTGTAATATATATATATATATACACACACTGTATATATACAGTGCATTCGGAAAGTATTCAGACCCCTTTACTGTTCCCACATTTTGTTACTTTACAGCCTTTCTCTAAAATGTATTAAATTGTCCCCCCCCCCCCCCCCTTATCAATCTACACACAATACCCTTGTAATGACGAAGCAAAAACAGGTTTCTAGAAATGTTTGCACACTTATTAATTTTTTTTGTTGTTGAAATATTACATTTACATAAGTATTCAGACCCTTTAATCAGTAATAATATAATAATAATATAATATGCCATTTAGCAGACGCTTTTATCCAAAGCGACTTAGTCATGCGTGCATAAATTTTTGTGTATGGGTGGTCCCGGGGATCGAACCCACTACCATGGCGTTACAAGCGCCGTGCTCTACCAGTACTTTGTTGAAGCACCTTCAGCAGCGATTACAGCCGTGAGTCTTCTTGGGTATGACGCTACAAGCTTGGCACACCTGTATTTGGGGATTTTCTCCCATTCTTCTCTGCAGATCCTCTGAAACTCTGTCACCCCACAGCTATTTTCAGGTCTCTCCATAATGACAAACCTGTTTTTGCTTTGGCATTATGGGGTATTGTGTGTAGATTGATGAGGGGGAAAAAACAATTTAATCCATTTTAGAATAAGGCTGTAACATAACAAAATGTGGAAAAACTCAAGGGGTTTGAATACTTTCTGAATGAACTGTATGTATTGCCACCCTAGGGTCATTCACAACTCATAAAGCAAATGTAGAATTTGTAAGTCGCTCTGGATAAGAGCGTCTGCTAAATGACGAAAATGTAAATGTAAATGTAGAACTTTTATTCAAAAACATAAAATACAGCCAAACACCGTCAAAAATGTTGTGATGTGTTTCGGGCATATCACCCAGCCCTAGCTCAATCATCATCAAACTTGATCTTCTTTCCCTGGAAGGCCACTATCACAGTCTGCTGCTCCTTCCTCTTCTTACTGGCCTCCCATGATGGGTGCAGAGCCTGCTGTGGTGGCTGAGATGAAGGGGTGGAGGAGATCCCTCTGCGTTCCTGTTGCCGGCCAAAGTCTCCCCTTCCCCTTCCAGAACCCCTATCATGTCCCCCTCTTCCCCGGTTCTTGAAGTCCCCTCCTCGGCCCATACCCCTGCCTCCACCTCTACCTCCACCCCTGCCTCCACCCCTGCCACCACCTCTACCTCCACCCCTGCCTCCACCCCTGCCACCTCTGGAACCAGACAGGCTGGAGCAGAAGACAGACTTCCCCCTGGAGTTCAACCTGGACTCCAGTTCATCCAGTTCTGTCTGGTGTGGTTCTAAGCTCTCCAGTGGTTCCAGCAGTGGGTTTTTCCCCAGCACGCTGCTCTTCCCCTCCCCTCCTCCTGGTGGCGCTGTAGCCGTGTCACTCTTCTTCTTCTTGAATTTGGTGACTTTCCCCAGGAAGAAGTCGTCGTTGTCGCTCTCATCCGACTGGGAGGACTGCTTACGGAAACGCTCCTCCGTGCTGTCGTCAAAATACTCCTTCTCTCCGTCTTCCGAAGACTCCAAGTCGCTTTCCTCATCTTCCGAAGACTCCAAGTCGCTTTCCTCTTCCTCATCATCCTCCTCTTCTCCTTCTTCTTTGTCCTCCTCCTTGTTTTGAGGTTTAGAGTCTTTCTGGGGTTTGGGGTCTTGAGTCTTCTGAGTGGCTGGAGTGTCCTTTGTGAGTTTCTGGGTTACTTGCTTCTGTGGTGTGTTTTTCATGGTCGCTATGTTCTGTGTAGGTACTATTTGTGGTGCCTCTATTGTGAAGGGAGTGGATGAGTCTGTCAGAGTCTTATCAGCCTCTGACATCTCCTTGGGCTGAGGGTCAGATACTGTACTCGCTATGGGGGACTCTTTATTCTCTAATGGGGAAGTTTCTTCTTCTGTAACCCTAACAGTCTTATCAACAGGTTGCTTTTCTATAACAGCTGGTTCATCAACCGTTAGACTCTCCACAGGTGTTCCATCTTCCTCCTCATCTATCTCGTCTTCATCTCCCTCTACCTCTCCCTTCCCCTCTTCCACCCCTCCTCCCATCACTGTCCTCCGGCTGCTCGATCACCTCTACCACCTCTGAAGGCTGTTTTTTAACCGTTCCTTTCTTCTCTCCTTTCTCCACTGTCATCCTTTCATCCTTGAAGGCTTTGATGGCAGCTTTGATGGTGTCTATCTTCTTGCTGAACTGGGGGTGAGTGGCGATACGGGCTACAGCTCGGTCAGAGATGGTGGCCTTTGGGTTCTTACAGACAAACTCAAAACTCAGGTTCTTCTGGAGGGCAGCCTTGGTCACCTAGAAATAACAATAAACAACAGTAATTATTATGATCTGGTTTTGGGACTGTTCATTTGCAATGGTCTGGGACTGACATGAATACATGCACTAAACCTAAATATTCACTGCAGTATTCAACTTCCAATTAAGTAAAAAATTAAACATGTATCTGATATGTAAAGTACACTGAAGTACACTGCACTAAAGAGTTTGTACTTTTCTGATAAATTAATACTTATCAGGATACTTTACTCAAAGTAAAAAAAGCTTTACATTACATTGCATGAAAGGAACTCACTCCTTCCACCAGCAATGTGTATAAACACATATACAATGGCTTGGGAATTAAGTGAATTAATGTACTAAATGTGAGCATGCAGTATTCCAAATAAGGAAGTAATAATAATGTAGGTGAGATGTAATTAGCGAAGAAGAAGCACTCACCGGATCAGGTTTGAGTGTCTTCATCTCATGGATTTCCTCCAGCAGTCTTCCTACCCTCCTCCGGTTCCTCTCCAGATCTTCCTCCTTCCCTTTCTTCTTCTTCAGACCTGCTATCTGCCTGGTCAGCTTCCTGATGACCAGTGCCCTCACCCTCTTCACCTCCTTCCTCATCCTCACCACCTCGTTGTTCAGGTTTAATGGAACTGGCTTACTGGGATCATCTGGTTTCTTCTTCCTTCTCGGAATCTCAGGCTTCTTCTTCTTTTTCTTCTTTAGAACCGCAGGATTATTGTCTTTTGTCAGAAGCCCTGGTTTCTTGTCTTTTATCGGAAGCACTGGCTTATTGTCATTCTTTAGGAGTTCTGACATGTTCTGTTTATTTAGATCCTTGGGGATCGTCTCTGTCTTCATAACATCTGGCATTGTTGCTTGCTGTGTGTCGGTTGATGACATCTGTGGATGACGCAGTTATGGGCAGAAGAGTGAGTGCACAGAAAGGGATAGCTAAATACAGTGTTTTTTCTTCTTTCAGTCTGTGGGTGATACCTAGCTACCATAGCTAGATCTAGCTGAGGAACGCTCAACTCCATTGTCTTATATCGAGTTGGAGTTGAGTTTTGATAACTGGTCGATGGATTTGCTAGCAACAACGTTGAGTAACCATCAGTCGATTCTGAAAACGGTTACCTGAACCTATGTTAGTCCTGTACAACTGCGGTCCTTCCGTGGGGCGCTGAAATTCATAATTTTAATAACAACCTATCGAATACAACCACCTACCTTTTCCTCATTTGTGTTGCTGGTACTACTTACTACGTCAGAGGAGATTCAATTGGCACATGCAAATTCGCGCTGAGTTGCGCAACACAAATGAGATGTTTGTATTCCATAAACGTTTTTATTACAAGTATGAATTTCAGGTAAACCTTTTCAGAATTGAGTTTTTACAAGAATAGATTGATGGTGATTAAAGTGTTGTTGCTAGAAAATCCCGCAACCAGTTAAAAATTCAACTCCGCCTCGATATAAGAGAACGGAGTTGAGCGTTCCTCGGCTAAGTAAGGTTGATCCACAATATTAGCTAGGTAGTTTGCTAGTATTTAACCACTAGCATACAGTAGGAGTAAAAGGCGGTAAGGGTAAATACAATGGTATAATACCAGCTACCTTAGAGGTACATTACAGTTATTACGGCGGCTAATTTCCCATCAACTGCTAACACGGCTAGTTAGCTAGCTAACGAACGTTAGCATATTTACAAGCATGGCCGAAGAAGCTGCAAACTAGTGCATTTGTTAGGGACTTTGTCAACAAAGCAATATATATCAGAGATAACAGATTTATTTTCATAATACACTACAGCAATCACAGCGCAAATTGAAATAGAATCAAAATCACTCATACCGTTAAAGTATGAACGTTGAAACTCGAGAAAGATTTACTCCATCCTAGGAGGCAGACATTTTCCTTACTACGTAGACGTATCAATGACGTAGCCACGGAACTACGTAGACGTATCAATGACGTAGCCACGCAGGCGTGCGTCTTGACCTTTGATGAAATGGGGGAGGGCCCACGATACAGTGTTTTTATTTCTGTCTGTTTTCATGTCCAGAAAATAACAACAATGGTGGATATTTGAAGAAATGTCCGTATCAGATCGTTGGCGTGACATTTTCGTAATAAATACCGGATTGATATCAGAGCCGAATCCACAGGAGGGAGGATGAAGCGGCGCAATGCGGACTGCTGCAAGCTCCGACGGCCGTTAAAACGGAACCGAATCACCGAGGGTATATATAGCAGGTAACGTTACGAACGAAGAAAGGGGTTCTAGTTAGGGACATGATCATACAATAATGGCGTCTGAGATATAGCAGACAAGACACTCAGCTGTCGTGTAGTGTGTCAGATAACCCCCGCTTTCGCGTTACTATTCGTCTGTCGTGTTCGAATGCCTAATAGCCTTTTGTTCCAAAATGTTAACAGCACTGACTGCATTCACATTGACGACAATCAAAAGGCATTGGAAAATGTGCTAAAATGCATACGCATATTATTGCACGGTTAATTAGTGGCTACTTATAGCTAGCTGGCCATTCAACCCAAACATGAGAAAATGATCTTGTACACTCACTCACTGTCTGGTAGCCCAGTATTACTAGCGATACAAAGCATTGACGGTTCTAATATACTTTTGACACTTCAGTGCATTGTGTCAGCAGCAAGCCTCCATTGAAAACACCGCACGAGAAAAGCAGCTGTTGAAAAGCCAATATGCCCTGACATGAACACAGGTTTTAATGTTCTCTTCAATCTTCCGATAGTCATACGCCACTGTGTTAGGTTATGCATTTCTGGCCTTGAATGTATGGTATGAACAGAGAGTAAAGCATAGGACCAGAGCTAAGTATGAAGGGACTGAAAGCGGTACAAGTGCCCAACCATGAATGTATCTTTAAGTCTAAGTTAGGATACGTTACAGATCAAATTTGAGTGAACCTTTTCCATTGTTCAGTGGCAAATGTCTCTTTTTAAAACATTGGAAAACGCGTGGTCCTGTGGTTGCAGATTACATCTAATCGTGACTGAACTCAGGATAAAGATGTTCCATCTTTAAACACAGTGTTGTTTCTATGAATGACTGTGGTACTGATCATATCACAGGGAGTTTTTGTCTAGCTCTGGTACAAACCCACCCCCGTGGGAAAAATTTTAAAAAAGTGACCACCTTTTTTGGTTTTCCCCCCTTTGTTGGTAAATTTAAAACCACATTTTTTTTTTTTAAACCTTTTTTGGCCCCCCCCCCCCCCCCCCCCCAAAAGGAAGGCGGGTTTTTCATCCAAACCTTTTTCCTTTTTGTTTCCTTTCCCCCCCCCCCTTTTTTGGCCCCCCCTCCATCCCACCCCCCCCAAAATCCCCCCCCCCCCCCCCTTTTCTCTCTCTTCCTCCCTCTTCCCCCATTTTCTTTTTCTTTTTCTTCTTTTCCCCCTTTTTGGGTTCTTGGGTCCCCCCCCTTTCTCTCTTCTCCTTTTTAATGCTTTAATTCAGGGGCGGAAAGGTTAACTTGTGCTGTAAAGGAAGTTAAAAAAATTTTTGAAAAACAAAAAATTACAGGTAAATTCCTACCCCCCCCCCCCCCCTTTCTCTCTTTCCCCCCCCCCCCCTCCCCTCTCTCTTTTCCCCTTTTCCCCCCCCCTTTCCCTTTTTTCTTTTTCTTTTTCCATTCTTTTTCTTTCCCTCCCCCCTTTTTCCTTTTAATCCCTCCCCTCCCTTTCTTTCCTTTGGGGTTTCTCTTTTTTCCAAAAAATCCCTCCCCTTTTTTTCCCCCCCTCCCTCTTCCCCTCTCTCCTCCCTCCCTCCTCCCCCCCTCTCTCCCCCTTCCCTCCCTCCCTCCCCCCCCTCCCCCCTCTCCTCTCCCCCACCCCTCCCCCCCCCTTTTTCTCTCTCCATCCCTCCCCCCTCTCTTTTCCCCCTCCCCTCCCTCTCTCTCCTCCCTCCCTCCCCCCCTCTCTCTCTCCCTCCCTCCCCCCTCCCTCCTCCCCTCCCTCTCCCCCCTCCCTCCCTCCCTCCCCTCTCTCTCCACCCCCTCCCCCCCCTCTCCTTTTCTCCACCCCTCCCCCCTCCCTCTCCCCCTTCCCTCCCTCCCCTCTCTCCTCCCCCTCCCCCCTCCCCCTCTCCCCTCTCCCCTCCCCCCCTTCCCTCCCTCTCTCCCCCCTCCCCCCCAAACCCCCTCCCTCCCTCCCTCCTCTCTCCCTCCCTCCCCCCCCCCTCTCTCCCTCCCTCCCCCCCTCTCTCTCCCCTTCCCTCCTCCCTCCCTCTCTCTCTCTCCCCCTCCCCCCCTCCCTTCCTCCCCTCCCTCCCTCCCTCTTTCTCTCCCCCCCTCCCCCCCCTCCCTCCCCTCCCCCCTCCCCCCCTCCCTCCCCCCCCCTTTCCCTCTTCTCTCTCCCTCCCTCCCCCCCCTCTCCCCCTCTCCCTCTCCATCCCTCCCTCCCCCCCTCTCTCCTCCTCCCCTCCCTCCCTCCCTCCCTCCCCCCCTCCCTCCCTCCCTCTCCTCCTCCCCCCCCTCCCTCTCTCTCCCCCTCCCTCCCTCCCTCCCCCTTCTCTCCCCCCCTCCCCCCCTCCCCCCCCTCCCCCCCTCCCCCTCCCTCCCTCCTCCTCCCCTTCCCTCCCCTCCCCCCCTCTCTCTCCTTCCCCTCCCTCCCCCCCTCCCCCCTCTTTTTCCTTTTCCAAACCCCTCCCCCCCTCCCCTCTCTCTCTCCATCCCCCCCCTCCCCCCTCTTCCCTTCCCCCCCTCCCCTCCCTCCCCCCCCCCCCTCCTCCCTCCCCAAAAAAAAAAAAATCCCCCCTCCCTCCTCTCCCCCAAAACCCTTCCCCTTCCCTCCCTCCTCTCCCCTCCCTCCCTCCCTCCCTCCCCTCCCTCCTCCCCCCCTTCCCTCCCCCTCTCTCTCCTCCTCCCTCCCCCCTCCCTCCCCCCTCCCTCCCTCCCTCCTCCCCCCCTCCTCCCCCCCTCCCTCCCCTCCCTCTCTCCCCCCCTCCCTCCCCCCCTCCCTCTTCTCCTCTCCACCCCTCCCCCCCTCCCCCCCTCTCCTCCTCCCTCCCTCCCTCCCTCCCCTCCTCCCCCCCCCCCCCCTCCCTCCCCCTCCCCCTCCCCCCCTCTCTCTCTTCCCCCCCCTCCCTCCCTCCCTCCCCCCCTCCTCCCCCCCTCCCCCCTCCCTCTCTTTTCCCCTCCCCCCCTCCCCCTCCCCCCCTTTCCCCCTCCCCTTCCCCCCTCCCTCCCTCCCTCCCTCCCTCCCCTCTCTCCATCCCTCCCTCCCTCTCTCCCTTCTCTCCCATCCCTCCCTCTCTCCTTCTCTCTCCCTCCTCCCTCTCTCTCTCAGGCGTTCTCAGTGTTCTTTGTGTGTGTGGCGTTTACGTCTGACATCATCTGCCTCCTCTTTATCCCAGTCCAATGGCTGTTCTTTGCTGCCAGCACCTACGTCTGGGTCCAGTACGTCTGGCACACAGGTCAGTTGACATCAGCTCTCTGTCAAATATTTTAGATTGGTCTTTCCCACAATGCATTGACTTAATCCTGTGTGTCATGTGATTCATATGTTTATATATACCAGTTATCAAATGTGGATGTACATTTATGTATTCAGATATGCATGTACAAAATAATTGTGTATTTCTTTGTCTGCGTTTACACAGGCAGCCCAGTTCTGATCTTTTTCCACTAATTGGTCTTTTGACAAATCAGATCAGCTCTTGCCAATAATTGGGCAAAAGATCAGAATTGGTCTGCCTGTGTAAACACAGGCTTTAACTCTCACACCGTCTTCCATCTGGGCCCTTCCCCCTTGCACAGAGAGAGGAGTGTGTCTACCCACCGTATCGCTATGGATACTGTTTGTGTACATGGAAGCTGCCATCCGCTTCAAGGACCTGAAGAACTTCCACGTGGACCTGTGTCGGCCCTTCGCTGCTCACTGGTAACCTGTCACCTGTTTTTATAACCCTATCTGGCATATTACCTAGCTTATCGCATTGTATCACAGGACCAAGCACATTGTGGCAACGGTAATCTAAATTCTTAAAAGGTTTTAAAAAATAAATGCAACAATTGGACAATGGATGAAGATACTCCAAACTTTTTGAATTTGTATAATCCATCAGATATTGACTTCATTATAGTACATACAACTGTAACTGGCAGGAACAAATCATTGATGGAGTTCAGCGATTTTGAATTCAGGTATTACATGTGTCAAATTTCACTTATTGTTCTTAGAATGCACTCGTGTGTGTGTGTGTGTGTGTGTGTGTGTGTGTGTATATATGTATGTGTGTGTGTGTGTGTGTGTGTGTGTGTGTGTGTATATATACACTGCTCAAAAAAATAAAGGGAACACTTAAACAACACAATGTAACTCCAAGTCAATCACACTTCTTTGAAATCAAACTGTCCACTTCGGAAGCAACACTGATTGACAATACATTTCACATGCTGTTGTGCAAATGGAATAGACAACAGGTGGAAATTATAGGCAATTAGCAAGACACCCCCAATAAAGAAGTGGTTCTGCAGGTGGTGACCACAGACCACTTCTCAGTTCCTATGCTTCCTGGCTGATGTTTTGGTCACTTTTGAATGCTGGCGGTGCTTTCACTCTAGTGGTAGCATGAGACAGAGTCTACAACCCACACAAGTGGCTCAGGTAGTGCAGCTCATCCAGGATGGCACATCAAATGCGAGCTGTGGCAAGAATGTTTGCTGTGTCTGTCAGCGTAGTGTCCAGAGCATGGAGGCGCTACCAGGAGACAGGCCAGTACATCAGGAGACGTGGAGGAGGCCGTAGGAGAGCAACAACCCAGCAGCAGGACCGCTACCTCCGCCTTTGTGCAAGGAGGAGCAGGAGGAGCACTGCCAGAGCCCTGCAAAATGACCTCCAGCAGGCCACAAATGTGCATGTGTCTGCTCAAACGGTCAGAAACAGACTCCATGAGGGTGGTATGAGGGCCCGACGTCCACAGGTGGGGGTTGTACTTACAGCCCAACACCGTGCAGGACGTTTGGCATTTGCCAGAGAACACCAAGATTGGCAAATTCGCCACTGGCGCCCTGTGCTCTTCACAGATGAAAGCAGGTTCACACTGAGCATATGTGACAGAGTCTGGAGACGCCGTGGAGAACGTTCTGCTGCCTGCAACATCCTCCAGCATGACCGGTTTGGCGGTGGGTCAGTCATGGTGTGGGGTGGCATTTCTTTGGGGGGCCGCACAGCCCTCCATGTGCTCGCCAGAGGTAGCCTGACTGCCATTAGGTACCGAGATGAGATCCTCAGACCCCTTGTGAGACCATATGCTGGTGCGGTTGGCCCTGGGTTCCTCCTAATGCAAGACAATGCTAGACCTCATGTGGCTGGAGTGTGACAGCAGTTCCTGCAAGAGGAAGGCATTGATGCTATGGACTGGCCCGCCCGTTCCCCAGACCTGAATCCAATTGAGCACATCTGGGACATCATGTCTCGCTCCATCCACCAACGCCACGTTGCACCACAGACTGTCCAGGAGTTGGCGGATGCTTTAGTCCAGGTCTGGGAGGAGATCCCTCAGGAGACCATCCGCCACCTCATCAGGAGCATGCCCAGGCGTTGTAGGGAGGTCATACAGGCACGTGGAGGCCACACACACTACTGAGCCTCATTTTGACTTGTTTTAAGGACATTACATCAATGTTGGATCAGCCTGTAGTGTGGTTTTCCACTTTAATTTTGAGGGTGACTCCAAATCCAGACCTCCATGGGTTGATAAATTAGATTTTTGTGTGATTTTGTTGTCAGCACATTCAACTATGTAAAGAAAAAAGTATTTTAATAAGATTATTTCATTCATTCAGATCTAGGATGTGTTGTTTAAGTGTTCCCTTAATTTTTTTGAGCAGTGTACATACATATACACGTGTACCGTTCAAAAGTTTGGGGTCACTTTTTTTTGTCCATTAAAATAACATCAAATTGATCAGAAATACAGTGTAGACATTGTTAATGTTGGAAATGGCTATTGTAGCTGGAAACGGCTGATTTTTTAAAAATGGAATATCTACATAGGCGTACAGAGGCCCATTATCAGCAACCATCAGTCCTGTGTTCCAATGGCACGTTGTGTTTGCTAATCCAAGTTGATCATTTTAAAAGGCTAATTGATCATTAGAAAACCCTTTTGTAATTATGTTAGCACAGCTGAAAACTGTTGTGCTGATTTAAAGAAGCAATAAAACTGGCCTTCTTGAGACTAGTTGAGTATCTGGAGCATCAGCAATTGTGGGTTCGATTACAGAATCAAAATGGCCAGAAACAAAGAAGCACAGCTCCAACCTATGCAATAACTATTTAGGGAAGAAGCAGTCAGCTGGTATTCTGTCTATAACGGAGTGGCCAGCACAGTCACCGGATCTCAACCCTATTGAGCTGTTGAGGGAGCAGCTTGACCGTATGGTACGTAAGAAGTGCCCATCAAGCCAATCCAACTTGTGGGAGGTGCTTCAGGAAGCATGGGGTGAAATCTCTTCAGATTACCTCAACAAATTGACAACTAGAATGCCAAATGTCTGCAAGGCTGTAATTGCTGTAAATGGAGGATTCTTTGACGAAAGCAAAGTTTGAAGGACTCAATTATTATTTAAATTAAAAATCAATATTTCAAATAAAATAAAAATGTATTTGTCACATACACGTGTTTAGCAGATGTTATTGCGGTTGTAGCAAAATGCTTGTGCTTCTAGCTCCGACAGTACAGTAATTTCTAACAAGTAATATCTAACAATTTCACAACATATACCCAATACACACACAAATCTAGTAAGGAATGGAATTTAAGAATATATACAGTGGGGAAAAAAAGTATTTAGTCAGCCACCAATTGTGAAAGTTCTCCCACTTAAAAAGATGAGAGAGGCCTGTAATTTTCATCATAGGTACACGTCAACTATGACAGACAAATTGAGGGAAAAAAATCCAGAAAATCACATTGTAGGATTTTTAATGAATTTATTTGCAAATTATGGTGGAAAATAAGTATTTGGTCACCTACAAACAAGCAAGATTTCTGGCTCTCACAGACCTGTAACTTCTTCTTTAAGAGGCTCCTCTGTCCTTCACTCGTTACCTGTATTAATGGCACCTGTTTGAACTTGTTATCAGTATAAAAGACACCTGTCCACAACCTCAAACAGTCACACTCCAAACTCCACTATGGCCAAGACCAAAGAGCTGTCAAAGGACACCAGAAACAAAATTGTAGACCTGCACCAGGCTGGGAAGACTGAATCTGCAATAGCTTGGTTTGAAGAAATCAACTGTGGGAGCAATTATTAGGAAATGGAAGACATACAAGACCACTGATAATCTCCCTCGATCTGGGGCTCCACGCAAGATCTCACCCCGTGGGGTCAAAATGATCACAAGAACGGTGAGCAAAAATTCCAGAACCACACGGGGGGACCTAGTGAATGACCTGCAGAGAGCTAGGACCAAAGTAACAAAGCCTACCATCAGTAACACACTACGCCGCCAGGGACCCAAATCCTGGAGTGCCAGACGTGTCCCCCTGCTTAAGCCAGTACATGTCCAGCCCCGTCTGAAGTTTGCTAGAGTGCATTTGGATGATCCAGAAGAGGATTGGGAGAATGTCATATGGTCAGATGAAACCAAAATATAACTTTTTGGTAAAAACTCAACTCGTCGTGTTTGGAGGACAAAGAATGCTGAGTTGCATCCAAAGAACACCATACCTACTGTGAAGCATGGGGGTGGAAACATCATGCTTTGGGGCTGTTTTTCTGCAAAGGGACCAGGACGACTGATCCGTGTAAAGGAAAGAATGAATGGGGCCATGTATCGTGAGATTTTGAGTGAAAACCTCCTTCCATCAGCAAGGGCATTGAAGATGAAACGTAGCTGGGTCTTTCAGCATGACAATGATCCCAAACACACCGCCCGGGCAACGAAGAAGTGGCTTCGTAAGAAGCATTTCAAGGTCCTGGAGTGGCCTAGCCAGTCTCCAGATCTCAACCCCATAGAAAATCTTTGGAGGGAGTTGAAAGTCCGTGTTGCCCAGCTACAGCCCCAAAACATCACTGCTCTAGAGGAGATCTACATGGAGGAATGGGCCAAAATACCAGCAACAGTGTGTGAAAACCTTGTGAAGACTTACAGAAAACGTTTGACCTGTGTCATTGCCAACAAAGGGTATATAACAAAGTATTGAGAAACTTTTGTTATTGACCAAATACTTATTTTCCACCATAATTTGCAAATAAATTCATAAAAAATCCTACAATGTGATTTTCTGGATTTTCTTTTCTAATTTTGTCTGTCATAGTTGACGTGTACCTATGATGAAAATTACAGGCCTCTCTCATCTTTTTAAGTGGGAGAACTTGCACAATTGGTGGCTGACTAAATACTTTTTTTCCCCCACTGTACATATATTTCTAACCTTGTCAATGACTACATTTCCTATTCATCTTGCTATATTTCCTATTCAAAATCATTTCATGTATGTTTTCATGAAAAACAAGGACATTTCTAAGTGACCCCAAACTTTTGAACGGTAGTGTATGTGTGTGTGTGTGTATATATGTATATGTGTGTATATATATATATATACACACATATACTACTGTTCAAAAGTTTGGGGTCACTTAGAAATGTCCTTGTTTTCCATGAAAACATACATGAAATGATTTTAACAGTTGAAGTCGGAAGTTTACATACACTTAGGTTGGAGTCATTAACTTGTTTTTCAACCACTCCACAAATTTCTTGTTAACAAACTATAGTTTTGGCAAGTCGGTTAGGACATGACACAAGTAATTTTTCCAACAATTGTTTACAGACAGATTATTTCACTTATTATTCAGTGTATCACAATTCCAGTGGGTCAGAAAGTTTACATACACTAAGTTGACTGTGCCTTTAAACAGCTTG